CAACGCCCCCGGTTCATCAATAGCTACTACTAACGTAAACTCTCCACGAGAAAGAAACAATAAACTCACTGAAGAACCCTCAAGACAATGCTCCTGAACAATCGACCTTCTCAACTGCGTATCTGCCAGAACGTCATAATAAGCCGACAACGAGATGATGGACAGCCGATCAGACTGCTTCGTTTCATATTGTGCTCAGCTATTGCGTCTGGAGCACGGATGAATTCGCCGAGACAAAGTCATGACGTCACAATGTTTCACCTAAGCTTACTTTTTGGTTTTCTGATAAATAGCATTCTTTTCTCTTTTCGTTCTTTTTTTTTTTTTTTTGATAACATCAATTCATGCCCCCCCCCCCACCCCCCCCCCCCTTTCTTTTTTTTTTTTTGTTTGAAAAATTTGTCACGAAAAGGTTTCCCCGCCCCCCCAAACCCCCCTTTTTCAAACCTTCAAAACAAAAATTTTAAAAAAAATTTTCAGGTGCAAAACGTTTGAAAAGGGAGTGGAGATTTTTTTAAACCCTATCCCGGGGGCTTTTTATCAAAATAACTCCGAACGACGTGGGGAACTCTGTGCCACCACTTTTCAAAAGGGGGAAATTATTCGGTAAACCCAACTGTGTTCTTTTCGCTAGCAGTCTGTCAAAACGATTTTTTGTGAAATACTGAAAATTTCAAAGAGATCTTCGTACTAGAAATATTCTAAGCTGTGAAGAATACAACCCCGGGGGTACAAAATAATGACCCCAGGACGTACGGATAGGAGGGGGGGGGTGTCATCGTCCACTCGTAAAATGTATATTACGGAATTGATAATAGGACATGAGACATTTGAGGAGTAGCGAACTCGCGAAGATGACGTCGAGTCTCTGTTGAATGATGTGGATGTCATTACCAGATCGAACATTAGAAATACGTGTAGAAAGATCAGTAGTGTTGGAAAGACTGAGCTATCGCTCTGCAGAAGTGTCGTTAGCAAACTCTGCGTTCATACATTTACCGTGAGCCAGAAGACATAACCATGAAATTTCGTCTCACTGAACTAACTTTCAATACTACGTTATTATCTTTTTCCCCAAATCAACTGCAATACAGTTATTGCACTATGTTCTTGTGCAGTTGCGAGCTCCGGAAAACTTATGCCAAATTATTAGCTTTAATATTCAAACATGAAGCTACGACTGCATGTACAACTGTATTATTGATTAGGCCGTTTGCTTGTCAGGAGGTTTGAAAACATGTCCAATTGGATCAAGTTTCAAGAGGCAATACCCGTCGCCTCTTCTCTGAAAGTGTACTTTGTCAAAGTGTAAATTTGCCGTGCAAATTCTCTCTCTCATAGGCGAGAGCATATGGTGCGTGCTTTTCTATTATGGTTCGCCAACTTGGCTCAATAGTGTAAACGTGACTTGCTCATTTGCCTCACCAACATATGAGATTTGGAAATGGGAAGAACAACTACGGATTTTTAATTTTTTAAATTTTTTTTTGTAATTTTTTTTGTAATTTTTTTTTTTTTTTTTTTTTGGGGGGGGGGTGGGAGGGGGTTGTGTGTGTTTTCTATTGCTTTGTTTTTTTTGTTTTTTTCTCTTGTGGGGGGAGAGGGGTGAGAGGGAAAAAAGGGGGGGGGGGGGCTTTAAAATTATTTCGAAAAGTGAACAAGTGGAAGAGAGTGTTGAGCGAAAGGAACAGCATTTTTTTCGAGTGTATATAAATAACTCCTACTGGTTTAGTTCTTGTTTTATTTTATTTTTAAAAATTACAACCAAAACGTTGACAACGACATCAACACGGCCCAAATACGTTGTATAACGTAATGATAAATCGTGGGTAAAACATGACGAAAAAATTTCTTCCTGGACATAAAATTACAAATATGCAACAAAAGGCGGCGAGAACGATTTTCTATTTGATGTCAGGACTTTTTGGGGTGAAGAGGGTCATAAAGGTAGCAGACACCAAAAGAAAAGAGTGATATAAGAGCAAGGACGAAGGGAACACAAAGGGAATCCATCGAAACGAATAAATGACAATTTCTTCTCGCACTACCACGATCTGTCATACAGAAGTTTTCATTCCATGTGTGATATTTGTACCTTCCTCGGAGTTACACGAGAGTCTATCCATTGGTCTCCACAACCCTTTCACCTGATGCCACACTAATTGTCACTGTTATACAAATTCTACGGAATGTCACGTTTTACAAAGATACGATACTGTAAACAAAGCCGATGAGGCTGTGTAATCTAAATTTAATTTAAACTATATAGATTGGCAAAGATGATAGTGAAAACTACAACGCTGTCTAAGATGCCGACAGTTATGAATATTAACTTTCTCTCACGTTTCTCGTATCCATGTCACGATTTCTTCCTACTTCCCGAGAAGCTGAGAATGTTTCTGAGTATTCTATGGTCTGCTGGGGTAATGATAGTAGTGTGAAGCACATAGAGCTTGCTTTTGAGTGGGGACCTGCGCTATACAAATGCTATTTATTATTATTATTATTATTATTATTATTATTATTATTATTATTATTATTATTACTTCCCCAGGAAACGGAACGATCGAATTCAACGAGTTCTTATCCATGATGTCCAAGAAGTCAGAGAAACACGAACTGGAAGAAATTACGGATGCCTTCAAGGTGTGAATGTGACGTGAGCAGTTGCCCGAAACACACTGTCGTGGTCAATTCTGAGACAGACAGACAGACAGACAGACAGACAGACAGACAGACAGACAGACAGACAGACAGACAGACAGACAGAAGAAAAGGAGGTGGAGAAGGAGGTGGAGGAGGAGGTGGAGGAGGAGGAGGAGGAGGAGGAGCGAA